AAATGCACCCAGAGACATGGCAGCCAATCAGAGCAGTGTTCAGCATCAACCAATAGGAGCAGCACTGGGAAAAGTTGTGATGAGGGAAGGTGTTAATGAGATATTGGTGTGGGTTGAGAATGAAGCATTAGTCAAACTGAAGCATTACCCTAACTAAATCAAAGCTCAGACGAGATACTAGATCTGCGCCCCTGCCTAAGTGTACAGAGGTCTTACAGCAGACTTTTGTTGGGCCTGCCACATATCTTAGTTACACATAAAAGATAGGGGATTGCAGTTAGTATAGCAATCATCATTGGAATTTACATATCTTAGGCCCTGTTCATACGAGGCGTTTTGGGCCGGGAGGGGGACGGAACGGGGGCGGAGCAAACGGGCCCGATCCCACGGCAACATCTGGGAATCATTGCCTGCCCGTCCCCGATCCGTCCCTACTGCTGAAAACGTGCACTAAAAAAGAACCACCTACCTAGGTGGTTGTTTCCAGTAGAGCGCCGCAAGCCGGACTGTGGGATCGGCCGGTGCGTCCTTGCGCCACCGCATCCCGGCCCCCAGCCGTACTGCGCATGCTCGAGCATGCGCAGTTTGACAGCCTCCCCCTCCCATCCGACTCTTCCTCCCCGGCATCTGATCGTGCCGGGGAGCGCTGCGCTGTGGCACAGGGGATCCGTGGGATCCCGCCACGGCGTCTCAACGTTGGTGCGGCTCAGATTAGCCGCAGTTCAGCCGTCCTTTTCCCTGCCGTGTGGCAGGGACCAAAGTTACATCAGAGTGCTGTGTTGAAGGGAACCTCCACATTCAGAGCCACTAATCCTCTGAATCCCAGAGCCAGGAGGCAACATCAGAGGAAGGCCTCTGCCTCTATGCCCTGTTGTTGGCTGTCCAGAGGAACTGGTTGGCTGCTGTGTGAGGCAGGATGCTGGACTAGATGGACCACTGGTCTGATCCAGCAGGGCTCTTCTTATGTTCTTATGTGTTATAACCCTACCTGAGAGAAGGTTTTCCTGAAGCATATAGTTGTGTAAAAGCTAACTTCCCACAGCTTGTGGTTTTTAAGTGACAATATTTACCTTGATGACGTGTGTGCCCCACCCCCCGAAATAAACTTTTGTTCTTGTTCACTTTAAAAAGGAAATCATTTCATGCCTATCAGTTTTATCCAGGCTTGGCTGGGGGTTATACTCAGGCCCAGCTCCTATTCCCTTAAACCCATTTTCTGTTTCTAAGTTCCCACTGGAAACCACAGTGCAGTGGTCTAGGTGGTAAATAGGATCATGACAGGATGGGAAAATCCTGTTTTTTAAAAAAATGTTTTTTATTTGTTTTTAAATCATCATTAACAACAACGTACATCAAAAGCATTAAACAAGCAACAACAAGTGATAAGGATCAAGTCGCATCAAAAGCCTAGTATGTAACAGTAAAAACTATTTTAACTATTTGAACATTTATCAACCAATAAGAAAAGGTAAGAAGTGCTGGTAATTATGCTACCTCTGTCAGTAAGGCAAGTATGAGGACTAGATTAGATCTGGATCTTAGATGTAGAAGATTTTGTATGTATCTCAGTGTGTACAGTAGAGAGCTAGAAGAAAAGCCTAGAAGAGTAAGTAGTGTTAGTGGGAAGAAGTTCAGCATCTGTCATGTACTGCAGCCATGGAAACCATGTGCGTACAAACCTACAGTAGGTCATGGTGGTGCCCGATCGTTGTCTTTGAAGTGAGTAAAATATTTTGCACATAATAAACTGATCCCATACTTTATGTCTGCACTAGGAAAAAGGCCCGTTGTGAAAATAAATACAACGGCCTCTAGAAAGAGGCTCTGGGCGGGCGCCCCAGCCTTGGACACACAGTGTCAATTTGCTGTGGTGACTTCAGCAGGGTATAATGACACTGAGTACACCATTTTCTCCAGAAGAACTGATCTCTGCTACCTAAAGAACAATTGTAATTTTGAGTGATCTCCAGCCTTCACCTGGAGATTGGCAACAATGGTTCCCTAGAAGGGTATAGTTAGTTTGGAGGGTGGAGTCTATGGCTTTGTACATGTCCGAGGTCCCACGCCTCCTGAAACCTCACCCTCTCCAGGCTCCATGCCTCACATCTCCAGGAATTTCCCACCTGGAGTTGGCAATCCTATCTCCTTCCCAGCCAATCCTCAACCTACCTTTATTTCCCCCTCACTCTTCAGCTTTCCACCTCCCACACACCTGCAGCCTCTCCCGTGCTCTGAAGCCCTGACTGCTACATCACATTGGCTGTCATACGGGGGCCACCTCAGCAGCATATAAGGATACAGAGCCCACCATTTTCTCCAGGGGAACTGATCTCTGCCATCTGGAAAGCAGTTGTAATCCTGAGGGATCTCCAGCCATCACCTAAAGATTGGACACATTTTACCTCATAACAAAAAGCTGTTTAGAATGTTAGAGGCAAAAGCCAATCAAGTCGCATATGCGAATAACCTCTGTGTTCTGACTGGCTATGGGGGGGAGAGGAACAGCAAAATGTTTAGAATGTTGGAGGCAGGACTCAGGCAAAGCAGCCAGTGGATAGGGAGATCCTCTGAATGACAGATCAGAGAGCGAACTGATTTTGGAGCGTGTGGAATGTTTTAGAGAAGTGCCACCACCATTCGGCTTTTATTTATAAGGGAGATATGGTCAGCGTCGGAGATGTCTGTTCCTTTAGAAATCTATCATACCCCATAACATCCTGCCTGGCTTTGCTCAAATGAAACACCTGAAACACTTTTAATGGTTGTATGCATGTATGCATGTGTGCGTGTGCATCTATCTCTCTATATTGATTGACTGCTAGGGAGTTAGTTGTCCACCAAACTTTCTTGTAAAAGTTTTGCTCAATAGAGGATCTTTTCTCCCATGCCCAAGCAGCAGCACTGATGGTTGCTCCTGTCCAGAGAAGCTGACCTGGATTACCTGGAGCAAGGAAACAAATAATCACCCGGGTCTTCAAATGTGGTAGGTTAGTGACTATGATGATTCTCAATCCTTTGTTGACCTAAAAGACACTTTTTTGTTGATCTAAAATACACTCTTTTCACTAATGTTTTACTCAGCACTGTTGACCCATCTTAAGAGTAATATCATGAATGCTAGGCATCATAGTTTACAAATATTGACAAAGATAAATAATTATTTAGACCCCAGCCATCAAGAGGGCAGAGAATCTATTTATTTATTTATTTGATTGGATTTCTATCTCGCCCTCCCCGCGAACGGGCTCAGGGCGGCTGAGAATCTAGAAATCAATCATATGAGAAAAGTTTGATGGAACAAGGTGGCATGGAAATGTGCTGGTAATTGATTATTAAAGGTGGTCAGGGGGGAAACGTCCTGCCCACTAAAGACAGGAATAATAACTGGCTTCCTTGATGGTCTCCCATCCAAGTACTAAACAGGGCTGACCATGCTTAGTGAAAAGTATGCAGGCGGAGAGTGATTTCAGCTAAGCATACCTTTATTTAGTTAAGAACAAAGACAACTGACCGGCTCGCAGGCCGGTTTATATTCATTCAGAAAACCCGCCACCAAACTCATCTAAACACACCCCCTACTCCCGATAGGCTATTTACAGAAACCGAGAGACCCATTGGCCTCCCGGCTTGGGACCTAGCCCTTTCATCGGGCCGGCTAGGATCCTACGGACCCATTGTCTTTAGACTTGAAGCTATTGAGGAATTGTGCCTGGCCAGCCCGGGCAAGTCCGGGCATGTCAGGCTGAATACATTACACTTAGCTTCTGAGGTCGGACTAACACCAATCCGCGCAATTTAAGTGTTTCCGTTTCAGTCGGTCTTTCCTCGAATTAACTCAGGGTGGTCCAGCTGGCTCTCTCCTTTCCTTCTGTCCTCACTGTGTGAAGAATGAGACACTCGCTAGCCCCATGCTGGTTCTCTACTCCAACGCCCTGCTGAGCCACGGTTACTCCTCTCTCCCCATTCAGAACTGACTATATACCTTGACGTCGGGAATATGTGAAGTTTCCCGTCATTTTAAATAACGTTTAAAATAGCCACAAAGAGGAGGTATGTAATTCTTGACCCAAACTCCAGGTGCCCCTATATATTCCATTCCACCAACGAGGGAAAGGACACTCATATTTGTTGCACGCGCACTTTTATTTATTAAAATACACACGGCTGCCTTTACAGTTCTTTCGCTTGAGCGCCCATCCCGTCTACTGGGAGATTGCTTTCGCTCAGAGAGGTCTACCCGCTCGTCCTTCCATACCTCTGAGCGACAGTTCTTCGCGCCCACCGCCAGTTCCAAGGCCAGGACGCAAGCGCATAGGGGCGCACGTAAGAGATCGCGAGAAGAGACTTCGCTGGAGGCGTTTGCACCCTCTCCCCTCCAAGCGGGGTTTTGAAACAGTTCTGTTTCGTGGCGCCGCTGAGGGGTGGGTACTCGAGCGAGCGGAAGAGTAAGTTGCGCCACGACCGTTGGACGAAGGGTGGGCTTCGAGTTCCTCTTGTGGCTCTTTGTGAATCCATCAGTGGACGCAGGTTTTCGCGCCTGCCCTTTTAATCCCTGACTAATTTCGTAATGCTGAGAAAGGCTCCGGGGAGTTTTGGCCGAATACGTTTCACAACATGAGTGGTGGGATTGGCGTCCGTATTCACGTCAGTAGTGGGCGGCAGTAATCGGCGATTCCTCCTCACTTCCACATCCCAAAGAATGTCCATTAGTTGGAGCACTTTTGCTAACTCATTTCCTTTAGTCCTTTAAGAACAGCCTTAAAGGAAGAGACGTTATCACAGACCAACCTACCTTACAGGGGTGTTTGGAGAACAAAATGTACGTTCAAAATGTACATTCCCTATGCTCCTTTGAAGGAAAGTAGGATAAAAATGTGATTGCCCAGCACTGGTTCAGGTCAAATACCCTCAAAATACGGTAACATGTTTTATTGTAGGTAATGCACACATTAAATTACATAGTTGTCACCTATATGACTCAGCTAATGAGGTCTGTTAAGTTCTGGACTTGCCATGCTGAAAAACCGAAGGCTATTCATAATCAAAGGGACCTAGACTGCTGAATGGGAGCTCTTTTATTAATATTCAGCATATTTATAGATTTCATTTTATCTGTACAGAAAATTAGTCCACTCAAAATGGAAGCACCTTTAGTAAATAACCCTACATCTGAGCCTCCGAGCACCTCTAGCTCAGGAAAACAGGTATGTAAACTTAATATATCTCATTTAATGGCCAGTTATTCCTTATGTGTTCCTAAACCAGATTTATGTAGAATCACCTAATCTTTGAAAATACTATCATAAGAAACATAAACGTCAGTAAGTTTTGCCCCCAAATCGTCTATAGACTTAAAACAATTCTTGTTTCTGTCTACTAATGTGACACAAAAATGTGAAAATGCTGTGTGTGTAACTGAAGTTCTGCATTCTAGTGGGGAATAAACACTTTAAGTATGCTAAAGCTTTCTACAAATAGTTTGCTTTTTTGTTGTAGCACAACATAGTTTACTAGTTAAAACAGCTAACTTTTAAAAAAGTATGACTTTGTCATATTCATTTTAGCCAATGAGTGCAACCCTTCGAGAAAGGTTGAAGAAAGCAAGACGGTCCTTTAATTCAACTTTCACTGTAGCAAAGCGTCTTAAAATTAGTGATGAAAATGACTGTGTTACTTATGAAGATATGACTTTATCTAAAAAAGAACCGTGTTCCACATCACAATATGAAGACAAACACTCAGAAAAAGTGGCTGACAAAATTATGTGTATGAAAAGTGATTTGCAAGACAGAGAGCTTTGTGAGTCTGAATATAGTAGATACAGTAAAACTGGACAGAATTCTCTGCAAGTTTTGTCAGAAACTAATTGCAGTCAGTCAGAACTACTGGAGAAGAAGATGGAATTGGTAAAGCAGATTCGGGAAAAGGAGGAACTTCTTCGAAGACTTAAACTGGTCAAGATGTACAGATCAAAGGTGAGATAACAGCTTTGCTGTGATTGAAATTCACATTTTTAATTGAAATGTATTTTAAATAAATGCTTGTATGGATATTTTAGTCTCAGTGATTCTAGTGCATTTAGAAAAGTCAGTACTGCAAGAAAATGTAAATAATCATGTTCAAACCAATGTGTTAATGAATTCATTCATCTTTATATTATTCAAGAGTGCATTAGTGTAAGTACTGCACCAGTCCAAATGCTAATACACTGCACAATAATTAATTATAGACAATGTATTATAGACATGCAGGATGTAGGTACGAACTCTGATATGGAAAACTTTTTCAAAGACATAATATTGGTGTCTGTTGTCCACTGTCTGACAGATGAGTCTGTCCTTCAGCAATATTTGTGCCTCTGGTCATGGTGGTAAACTAATCTAGAAATAAGCTGAAGATTGCTCTTGTGTAGCACTTCTATTTAATATTTTGTTTCTTTTCTTGTTCCCTGAACAAAAATTATGTCCCTTACTTAAAAATCTGTAAAATTCTATGTTTTTTGCTGGTTCTGTATAAATGGTCGCAAGTCTATTGATCTGCTTCAAAGCTATACTATTTTTGATAGTAAAGGGAAACCAATGTGACAGATACTAGTATTTCTATTAGTCATTCATTTACCTGGGTTGAGGTGGACTATGCTTAAACTTTTGGGGGAGGGGGGGAGGGGGAGGAGGAAATTCTAGCAGTCATGATGGTTTACACTTACTGATGTTTTCTTTTTAAAAATGAATTCTAGAATTTTCTGTTTTCTTCAAGAATTTGTGACTCGGCTTATGTTCTACTAGGGTTATATATGGTCTATCTCTAATTCTATCATTTTCTAGTTATTATTTTCTGTGTTTCAGAATAACCCGACAGAACTGCAGTCGCTGATAGCAAAATGGCGAGGAAGTTCCCAAATAATGCTCTATGAGCTACAGTCTGTGTTGTCTACAGACGGCAAGAAATTAAGTATTACAGAGCTGATAAACAATTTTGGACTAGATGACCAACTGCTACATTATATCAGAACAGAAGAATATTTTACAGATGCATAACTACAAGCAACTTATCTAACATCCCCCCAAAACAATTTGAAGGTTTACATCCGGTTTTTGTGCTACATAACTGGGCTAGTAAAGAAGCTGTGTGATTGTATGTAGCGAAGGCTAATCCTTTTGTTTATGTGGTAAAAATGTTTTAAAATGGGGAAAAAGAAACTGGCTCTATTGTGGTAGATTTCATTCTTTCTGTTGGTTATAATTGTGCTGTGTTGCTTACTGTGAAATGAAAAACTTGCATATTTTTATTTAGTGTAAAATATATACAGTATTGAATGCAGTGCTGTTTTCATTCTTTGTGACACATAGGGATTTCATACTCTGTAAATACTTGTAATTTTCAATGTGGGGTTTCCTTTCCTGTTCAAGCAGAGCCATCTGGACACTGAATATGTATTCAATATATACAAGAAAGGGGACCCGCGAAAATTGTGGGGGGGAGGAGCGGGGGAACTCCACTTACAGCAGGGGTGGAGGAAGAAGCAGGTAAGCTTCCCCCCCATCCCGTCGGTTCCCCCGTCTCCATCCCCCCTCAACTACCACCCCCCAGCTCGCTGGCCCCCCCAGTCTCTCTCCCCTCCCCGTTCTCTCCCCCCCAATCTCTCTCTTCCCCCCCCGTT